TATATATATATATATATATATATATATATATATACACACACACATACAGTATATTCTTGAGGTCCAAACTAAAAAAAAAATGGTGCACAGAAACAACAGAGGGCATGTAGTAGATTGTGTACAGCAGGTTTTCAGCAACGCTTTGACTATGTTGATCATTTAGATGTCTCAAAATGTGCAAATTATGATATATTAGGCATTATATATTATATTAAGCATTAAAAATATGATACAGTAGGTTTATGGGGTCAAAAAAGCTAACATTTGAATAAAAACTATAATAGTTTATAAATAATACTAATAACACTGATGCACTGAAACTGTGAATAGGAAACATTTACATTTAGCCTACACATTAGGCAGACGCTTTTATCTGAAGCAACCTAAATTGCATTCAAAGCATGCTGTTATGATTTTGTGAAGGCTTTAAGAGTGGTTTTAAAAATATGCTTTGTAAGGCAGCGTATTGAAGCGACTTTCAACGTGATCCAAATGGGAGAAGTTTTGTTTCCCAAAGCTGAGAACACTGTTGTGGCAACAGTAAATTAAAATACAGGTTGGACTATAGACGCTCACACAGAAACTGCTTACCGGTGTGTGTGCGGTGATGTGCTTTCAGATGAGAGCTCTTGGTGTACACCTTCCTGCAGCCGTTGAAGTAACAGCGATGAGCTCTCCTTCGTCCTTCAGATGACCCCTCACCTTTGATCTCATCCCCTCTCGCCCCTTCTGCATCTTCTTTACCCTCCATGAGAGGGAGTGAGGGCGGCGTCGGGGGGGTGTGTGCGATTACATGCTGCTGCTCAGATACGCTGTGATCCAGTGGGTGTGTGAGCACATCAGCAGATGCAGTGATCTTCTTACAGCTGCCGAATGGCAAATGGGAAGCCGTAGCGATCCCGTCCTGCTTGGGGATGGAAGCTTCCGGCAGGGACGAGTTCGGTTCAGTCCCACAGCAGCGTAGAAACTGATTCCAAAGATTGTCAGACTCGCATACTGATCTCAGATCAGCTGCAGAGACGTAAGGCTCATTCTGCAGATAGCGCTCAAGCTCCAGACAAGTCTATAAGAGAGAATCAAGCGCAATCAAACACCAACCAGAATACTTTGCAAGTAGGAAAAATTCTAAGATGAAATTGAAAACTCTAAAATGAAATTCTTTCTTCTGTGGAACACTAAATGTGAGGTTTAGCACAATATCAGTGGTGCTCTTTCCTAAACGATTAAAGTAAATGGAAATGAACTCTGTTGCGCTCCAATAATGATATAAAGGTAACATAAAAGTAGTCTTCTGTGGAACACTAAATGTGAGGTTTAGCACAATATCAGTGGTGCTCTTTCCTAAACGATTAAAGTAAATGGAAATGGACTCTGTTGCGCTCCAATAATGATATAAAGGTAACATAAAAGTAGTCTGTACTCAGATATCACTGAATAATGCTTTGCATTTCTATATGTTCCTCACATGATACTTTATGGTGATTTTTGGTGCTGTACATTGTTTTGGAAAAGAGCAGCTCAGAGATTCAGTGTGGCACAGAAGAAAATATATAAGTTTTGAAATGACATTAGCGTGTGTAAATGATGACAGAATTATTATTTTTGTAAATTCATATTTAAAATATAACAGAAAAGCCTACGGCGGATTCTTTTGTGACACCTTATGCCATATAATGTCACATTTTTCTAACCATGACTTTAAGCAATATGTCTACACGTAAAATGAGTAAAACATTTTTTTTAAATAAATAAATAAACAATAGATAAATAAATGAGCAACCCAGCCTACCTGGAGATATTAGTAAAAAAAAAAAAAAACGCTTAAGACTAGGGTGAAAATTTACTATGCTAAAAAATGAGCATCATATGAATAGGCTAAATAACATTTAGAAATATATTCAAATAGAAAAGTGCTATTTGAAATTGTAATATTGCACAAAATTACTATTTTTAACTGTAGTTTTGATTTTTTTAAAATACAGCCTTGGTGAGAATAAGAGACCTATATCTATAGGTATATAGATCATATATATATATATATATATATATATATATATATATATATATATATATAGATCAAAGTATTTGATGAATAAAGCTGGTGGTTTATATTACCTGTTGCCAGTACTCCTCTAGAGATGGTAATGCGGACAGGTATCCCGTGTCAAGGACACTCTGTAGCTCCTGGAAAATACTACACATGGGAATAACATCCATATTCCTCCCACACTCCCAGATCTGTCAAACCCAGCTGGAAATCCTGGAGAAGGCGCTTTCCCGCTGGAGGTAAGGCAACAGTTTGTTTGTCTCTAGCGGACGCTCGGCTGCACAGAAGCGAATGCAAACTTCCAATTTCAAAACAAGCGAAACGCATTGAGTGACGTCACCAGCGGACAAATCAGAAGCGACCGGCTAGTGCCCCGCCCACCGTCTCAACTCCACCCAATGGGTGAGTCCGTCTGCAGATCTAGTTGAGGATTGGTCATCGGTATGTCTCTCTGTGTGATGATTGGTGGGTTGTAGTTGGCGCTATTTCTGGGGAGGTATATAAACATACCCCCTTCTTTGCAAATGAGGAAGTTGTGGTACTTGTACATATGTTTACGAGCATAGATGGCTGACTGTACTCTTCGGTAACTCTCTCTCTCTCTCTCTCTCTCTATATATATATATACATACAGTATCCACCTTTTTCTTCAACGCGGAAGTAAGCCTATGGGTGAGACTTCCGGTTCATTAGCCGCTACAGGTAAATAACGAGGAGAATAACAACGTGCAGTAAACGGTAAAACTGTTTGCACTACAAACCAGTGTGTTCATAATTTCAGATAATACATTAAAATAATATGATAAGACACACCAACTTTCGATATCAAGCAGCAAAACGAACTGTTTTGTTCAGCTAAAAATAGCTGGACGGAGTGGACGCAGATGAGACCGGAAGCCAGACCCATAGAATTTACAAATGGCCACGCCCATTTTTACGACAAGAACAAGGTGGATAGCCTACAATGTAAAAAATACATCCGTAAAATAGCATAAAAAGTACTTGCAGCTCATTACAACAAGTATGACTTTGTTAGCATGCAACATAATGCATAATGAAAGTGAGAGGAAGAGCTATTCACAGATAACCTTACCCACAAATGAGCTGGGTAACTGAGACACTAATTCCAATGATTCTCGTTGAGTCTTGTGAACTGGATCAGTCTGATTCATGAACAAATCACCGAGACTAGGTGAAGTGGTTCCCTGAAAGGATATGACTCAATACAACTCAAATTTGAAATAGGCCTGCAGGGTGACATACACTGCATTACTTCATGCAGTATAATGCGATACTGTAATATTGCCTCGAAGTGTAATGTTCAGTTACTGTTCATCATCAGAGCAACAGTGGGAAACTAAACAATAATCAGTAGCTAACAAGTGAATAAATACATGGAGGGCATTTGAGGTAAATCAGATCTGAATCAATTTGTGATGTCTGTGTGTGTTATTGTGCTTTCCACACCCATAAAAGCCTTGGATCAGAAATACTGAGGTAAGGATTACTGAAAGTAAATACCTGGAAGCATGAACACATAACTCTGTTATCCTGAGACCCATACATTTTTTACCTCTTAAAACCACTGTGACATGTCAGTCTGTGCTTACAATCATAACTTTCCCCCCTTTATCAAGACTGTGTGAATGGATAATGCACACATACACATGCACAAACATGCACGTACACACAGACAGGGGAGTGTGTACAGTGGTGGTGACTCATATTTTCTGTGATTACACTCATACTGTTTGTATTCAGGCTAGCACACATGCTCTCATTCATTCCGTCAAAGGTAATATTTTGCAACATACTGGAAATCACAGAGATTATTTTCATGGTATTCATGACTACACATAGTAACAGACATCCACACAAACACAAATAAGTAGATGCCCACAAATGAACAATAAAAACAAATAAACAGAATAAAATGAAAAATTATACAGTCATAAATGAAACATGGACAAAAAATTATTATAATTTAAACCCAATAACCAGCAAGCCTAAGCATAAAATGTCAAAAGTAATCACACAAATTGCACTACACAAACCCACAAAAAAAATTAAGTGTGATTTTGAGTACTACAAAGTTGTTTTGGCAGATTGTAATTTGAAAAGGAAGTAAAAATAGATCATGTTGGAAGTGGCGCAGAAAATGTGTGAAGAACAAGCTGTGTGATGCTAAATGTTCACAATCTATTTGTAATAATTTTACAAGCAATCCATTTCACTGAATCAATTCAAAACAAGATTCATTTGTGGCATCACACACAAATGTTCAAATCTCCAGATGTGGTATTTTTTATACATTACAATGTTAATAACATAATATTCCTTTTTTTTGTTATATGGTACATAAAAATAATCAGTTTTCTTATTTAGTTTAATTTTTACTGTATTTATTGCATCAAACATTTTTTTAAATCTGTCAGTGCTTATTTGGTTAAACTGACTGGTCCTTCTAAGCCATTTCAGAGCAAATACACAAATATTGATCATGTGACTCAGTAAAACACACACACATCATTCAACATTCAAACGCCTGTAGGCTGAATCTCAAACACAAACACATTTGTTAACAAGAAGTCACCTCTGGGAAATTTTTATTGTGTTAGTGTGCCATTTTCCCATGATCCCTCATATTGAGCCTGATAAAAGTCATTACTAATGAGATGGAACTTAATTGAAGTAAAAAAAAAAAGATGTACAAGACATCACAGGTTTGAATACTCAGCAGGGTGTGTGACTAAATGTGAGAGCATATTGTTATAAACTAGTGAGACTCTCACACGTGTGATTGAGAAATGTTCTTTATAAGGGATTGACATTGCAAAATTGATGACAATATGAATTTTGCATCATTATTGTATCTCGTTGTGTGGGCCTCGCATTGTGTTTGTTTTGTGATTTGGTTCTTTGTGGTTGTGTGGATGTCTGTGAAAGGAACTACAAAAATACCTTGAATGTGTGTATGTGCGTGTGTCTGCTCTGTTCCAGCTTGCTAACGTTATTATGTAATAATGTTTCAGCAAGTATAGAGCTGGGTAATAACTGATTACATGTAATCTGGATTACGTAATCAGATTCCAAAAATGAACTACTTGTAATTCGATTTAAATTCATTAGATAGCAGCTCTCAGTAATATGTGTCGGGTCCCCGCTATGATAGTAGCAACATTCACAAATGTTCACAGAACAAGCGGGAACCCAGTGTGCCTGTAGCTTTCTCTACTTCTGTTTTATCACATGATAGAAAGTCTAAGGCCTTCTCATGCCGTACGGCTGACCCATCTAATCTGCGGCCTATTATGCATCGAACTAAGATTTCTGTAGAGACAAAAAGTAACGCCGTCAAGTTAGCATTTCTAAACATTCGCTCACTAAAAAAGAAATACTTTGTGATCAATTAATTAATAACCACAAACAACCTGAATTTTATGTTTCTAAACAAAACATGGCTAGAAGGCAGCTGCAGTGCAACGGTCCTCAATGAAACAGCCCCTCCTAACTTTACTTTCATGAGTGTTTCTGTTTTATCACATGATAGAAAGTCTAAGGCCTTCTCATGCCGTACGGCTGACCCATCTAATCTGCGGCCTATTATGCATCGAACTAAGATTTCTGTAGAGACAAAAAGTAACGCCGTCAAGTTAGCATTTCTAAACATTCGCTCAATAAAAAAGAAATACTTTGTGATCAATTAATTAATAACCACAAACAACCTGAATTTTATGTTTCTAAACAAAACATGGCTAGAAGACAGCTGCAGTGCAACGGTCCTCAATGAAACAGCCCCTCCTAACTTTACTTTCATGAGTGTCTGCAGGACTGTTAGGAGAGGTGGAGGTGTAGCTGCTCTGTTTAAAGATGTATATCAATGCAAGCACGTGTTATTTGGTCAGTACTTGTCTTTTGAATATTTAGGGATTGTGCTGAAAGGTGCTCCACGCATTCTGTTTATCATTATTTACAGGCCTCCAAAATACTCTCCAGCCTTTGTTGAAGAGTTCACAGAACTGTTATCAATGATTTCCTCAGAGTTTGACTGTTGACTGTTTTGCTATTGCAGGGGATTTTAATATTCACATAATAATGCAGAAATCTAAACTACACAAAAAAATTATATATATATATATATATATATATATATATATATATATATATATTTACTGTATATATGTGTATATTTAAACACGTTTGACCTGATCCAGCATGTGCATGGACCCACACACAATCGTGGACATACTCTAGATTTAAT